AGGTGGGCCCCTCTCTCGCCCCGCCCTCGCTCGGGTTAGCCTGGGTGCACCCAGCTTCGGCCGGCGCTCCGCCTGGGCTCAGTCTGGACCTGGCTGTGCACGCGATGGCGGGCTTAGCTCTGAGGGTCGCCGGGCGGCAGCTGAGCCAGCGCGGTGGATCTGGAGCACCCATCCTGCTGCGGCAGGTGCAGTCGCCTGGGCGGGGCAAGGGGCTTACTGGGCCCTGGGCTCCGGGAGGGGCGGAACTCTTGGGTCCTTCAATTAGGAGCGATCTAGGGGTCGGTTCGTGGGGTCTTGCGGAAAGGGGTGGAGATTTGGGATGGATTCGTGGGTCTTTTAAAAGGGACACATGGGGGTGTTGGGGGGGCTGCGTTCGGGGACTGACCCCTGAGTCCTTACGAAAGAGGGCGTTCCTGATCCTGACTTAGGGGTGTTAGAAAGTTGGAGCTCCCTGGTTCTGAAGGAGGAGGGCGGTGGGGTCCTCAATCCCAGACTCAGGGGAGGGATCAAGAGGCGGTGGTTTCTGAATCGGGCTCTTAGGACGGGTCGAGTCGAGGCCTAGACTCCTGGGTCCCCCCAGGGGGTGGGAGTCAGGTTCTGCGCCCTTGCCTGTGCCCGCCCCGCAGATGTTTGAGCCCGAGAGCTGCACCTACACGTACCTGCTAGGAGACAGAGAGTCCCGAGAGGCCATTCTCATCGACCCGGTTCTGGAGACGGCGCCTCGCGATGCGCAGCTGGTCAGGGAGCTGGGGCTGCGGCTGCTGTACGCCGGTCAGTCGGGGTCAGTCGGGACGCACTCGGATCTGCGGGAGGAGGCGCGGCCGCAGAGGGGCGGAGCGGGCGGCGGGCGGCCTGGACTCCGGGGTGCCCTCCGAGCCTCGGGGCCCTGTCCCCCTCTCGTGTCCAGTGAATACCCACTGCCACGCGGACCACGTTAACGGCTCCGGGGGCGCCCCCCCGCCCCTTTCCTGCTGCTCCGCCCGCTCTCCCCCGCCTGCCAGTCTGTGATCTCGCGCCTTAGTGGGGCCCAGGCCGACTTGCACATCGACGAGGGAGACTCCATCCGCTTCGGGCGCTTCGTGAGTTGGGTGCTGAGTCTGGAGAGGGTGGTGGCCTGGACTTCTTGGACTTAATGGAAAGAGGGGTCTGGAGGCCTGGGCTCCTGAGTCCTGGGGGAGAGGGGCCTGGGTCCTGGTCTGATCGCCGAGCTGAGGTCTCTGGGAGGAGGGCGCCGTAAACCAGGCGGGCCAGGCGGGCGCACTGGGGCAAGAGGCTCAGCGCGGGTGTGCCTCTGGCCGAGCCCCTAAAGTCAACAGCATTTATGGAGTTTCCCGACGCTCTGGGGCAGCTCCTCTGGGCTGGCATCTCTCCATAAAAGTTGATGAGGGCCCAGACTGCGGAAGACCCAGCCCTGACTTCCAATAGCCTCTGTTAGAGGACGAGGCATCCCTGTGCCCAAGGCCGGGACATCCCGTTATGAGGCCGGGAGGCACAGCATTTAAGGAGGCGCTGGCTCTCCAGGTCGTGTGCATGCAGGGTCAGCACTCAGGAGTGGGTGCCTCCTTAAACTTTGCTCCGGAGCCTCACCCCGGCCCAGCCCTGCAGTTGCCTCACCCTGGAGTGGTCGGAAGGTTCCTGCTCCTTCGTTTCCGCCAGAATTACCACCTAGGGCTGTGTGGGAAGTCGGGGGAGTTGCCCCTGTGGGAGGGGAAACGGCTGACAAGGCTTTTTTTTTTTTTTTTCCTGATCAGGATTGCTAAATAGGTAAAGTTTGGCTGAGTTTGGGGTGGGGACTTGGCCTCCAGGTTAGCGGTTTTGCTAATCAAGGACAGTGTCTTCTGAGTCAGAGAGTTCAGCGGAAATGAGGGGGATCAGAGAGTTTAGCTACAGTGGTTATGGACTCCGGGTAATCAAGCCTTTTTCTGGAAGCAAGTAAAAGATGCAGTGTCCGTTTATAAATGAACATAACAGGCACAAACAGGCATCTCTTGGATTCCACTGGGGTTTTGTGTCTATCTTTGCTGTTTGTTACAGTGAATGTGGAAGAGATTAGCTGTGGTAGACTGAGCTTCAGTGTGTTTTGTTTTAAGTTTACTTTTATTTTATTTTTTTGGAGAGGTTTTCGCAATAGGGGGCGTGCGCTTGCCAGAAAGACAGAGAGACAGAAAGCAAAAATCACCCCCCAGGGGGGATGGCCATGCCGCAATCCCTTCTCCTCCATTCTCCTCTCGGGATCTTGGGCATGCACGCACGCGTGCCCTGTGTGAGTTTAAGCTACCGGGTTCGAGACTCAAACTGTGGTCGACTACCTGAGAGTCCAGCGACATAGCCATCACGCTAACTGCTGGTCCCAAGTTTACTTATTTATTCTGAGAAGTAGGTGCCCTCAACAAGGTTTCACACCACAGTCCTCTCAGCTCGCCAAGCAGTCAGGATCCTGGGCATGACTGCATGTGTTCAGAGTAACCCGGGATCCAAACCCTGGTCTTGTTTATCCACTGCTGCTGCCACTGTGGCTATGCCACCATGGCTAGGCCTGTTTTTTCCTTCAATAGCTTTTTTTTTTTTTTTTTTTTTTACTTATTTATTCTGAGAAGTAGGTGCCCTCAACAAGGTTTCACACCACAGTCCTCTCAGCTCGCCAAGCAGTCAGGATCCTGGGCATGACTGCATGTGTTCAGAGTAACCCGGGATCCAAACCCTGGTCTTCCATATGGCTCCAGCATTGTTTATCCACTGCTGCTGCCAATGTGGCTACGC